CCCCTTTCAAAATTTTTTTTTCCTGCAGGGGTTTAGCAGAGCTAAGAACCATGCAGTGAATTCCTCAATCTGTGTCCTTCCTCCCTACCTCCCTCCATCCGTCTCTCTCATCACCCAGGTCTTCTATCTGTCAGATGTTTCCTAAACACAGCATTCTGCTCTGACAGCTGTCAGGCACAGACAGGGTGCCTCTACCCCTCTCCACACCCCTCATCTTTCTCTCTTCCCTCTGCTAATCTGACGCTCTGCTCATCTCTCCCCATTCAGAACGTCTCTCTCTCTCTCTTTGTCTCCCCCCCTCTCCTCCCCCTTCGGCTGGCAGCTGAATATTGATCGAGAGGCTACCGTCAGTCAAAGACAATGGAAAGTAAGATATGATCCTGCCAGCTCATCTGAATGAGCTCATTAGCCCAGTGCATGCAGAGAGGAACCTGGTGGTTATAGATATAGATATTATAGATATGCCCACAGTTTTTTATGGTCACGTTTACTATGCAGTTTAGTTTTAGTATGCAGTATAGTACATGGGTATAACCTTTATTTATTCAGTGAGTCAACACTCAATGCAAACACAAAATACATACAACACGCAAATAGGCTCCCGAGTGGCGCAGCGGTCTAAGGCACGGCATCTCAGTGCTTGAGGCGTCACTACAGACCCCCTGGTTCGATTCAGGCTGTATCACAACCGGCTGTGATTGGGAGTCCCATAGGGCGGCGCACAATTGGCCCAGCATCGTCCGGGTTTGGCTGGTGTAGGCCGTCATTGTAAATAAGAATTTGTTCTAAACTGACTTGCCTAGTCAAAAAAAACATGTACATTCCTCTATGAGCAGGTATCCTTTTAAAGTCTTAAAATAACAACATTTTAAACTTAAGTGTACGCTGAGGCTGGAGTAGTGTACCCAACAGACCAGAAGCTGTGACATGTCTATAGACATGCTGGAGGGAGGTTTTTAGACATACAGTGAGGGGAAAAAGTATTTGATCCCCTGCTGATTTTGTACGTTTGCCCACTGACAAAGAAATTATCAGTCTATAATTTGAATGGTAGTTTAATTTGAACAGTGAGAGAAAGAATAACAACAACAAAATCCAGAAAAACGCATGTCAAAAATGTTATAAATTGATTTGCATTTTAATGAGGGAAATAAGTATTTGACCCCCCTCTCAATCAGAAAGATTTCTGGCTCCCAGGTGTCTTTTATACAGGTAACGAGCTGAGATTAGGAGCACACTCTTAAAGGGAGTGCTCCTAATCTCATTTTGTTACCTGTATAAAAGACACCTCTCCACAGAAGCAATTAATCAGATTCCAAACTCTCCACCATGGCCAAGACCAAAGAGCTCTCCAAGGATGTCAGGGCCAAGATTGTAGACCTACACAAGGCTGGAATGGGCTACAAGACCATCGGCAAGCAGCTTGGTGAGAAGGTGACAACAGTTGGTGCGATTATTCGCAAATGGAAGAAACACAAAATAACTGTCAATCTCCCTCGGCCTGGGGCTCCATGCAATATCTCACCTCGTGGAGTTGCAATGATCATGAGAACGGTGAGGAATCAGCCCAGAACTACACGGGAGGATCTTGTCAATGATCTCAAGGCAGTTGGGACCATAGTCACCAAGAAAACAATTGGTAACACACTACGCCGTGAAGGACTGAAATCCTGCAGCACCCGCAAGGTCCCCCTGCTCAAGAAAGCACATATACAGGGCCATCTGAAGTTTGCCAATGAACATCTGAATGATTCAGAGGAGAACTGG